CGTGGAAAAAAAGAGGAAGCACCACTTCCTTGTCTTGTCTGACCGATCGAACTGGATCAGCTGATTACCTGAACACGTAGCTCGGGTCCTGTAAGTGGTCCACGGGCTCCCCGGGAAGGGTGGGCTCGGGATCCGGCCGGTGGAAGCTTTTTTTTTTTTTTTGACGTCGGGGGAAGCTTGAGTAGGCGCGTCGCAGCAGACGGTAGCCGGCCATGGCTGCTATGAACGATCCGATGCTCGGTTAGGGTTACTGCTGCCGTTGGCTGCTTCAGTTTGGTGCGCGCCGGCGTCGACTATTACAAAATCGCCCCTGACTTGTTAAATACTCCAGGTCAGGATTAATCCAGTAGGATTAATGTTAGCTAACAAACCTGCATCTCCACGTCAGTATAGATATTTGGGAAGGGATACTCGGAGTCGGAGTGGGATACGATCCAGGCATTGAACTTGCATAGGTTGAATCCATCTCCAATTCCTTGTCTGATTCTATCGCCTACATAACCTAACCTACCTCGCCCGCACGGGCGCACGCCGTCTAAGGATATCGTTCACCGCAGCCGTCGCCCGTCCCCACCGCCGCGACCGCCGGCCATCGCCATGGACTACGATGACATGTTAGATTGGATCATATGGGTGCTTTTGTTGATGTTCGCCGTCATCGCTGCGCTCAGCGCCGCCGTGGCGATCGCCGAGGTGGTTCGTCCCGTGCGGCAGCACTGCAAGTGGCTGTCCATCGAGCGGCTGCTGGAGAGCATACCCGACGTCCCATACAAGAAGATGCCCGATCGAGACGGCGGCTCTCCGTCGGAGGAGGAGGAGGGGAAGGAGTTGCGCCGGAGCCAGAGCTCGTGCGTGATCTGCCTGGCGCAGTACGAGGGCGGCGAGCGGTGCAGCGTCCTGCCGGGATGCGGCCACGTGTTCCACAGGGGCTGCGTCGCCACGTGGCTGCACACCACGCACAACACATGTCCGCTCTGCCGGGCGACGATAGCCGCCGGCGCCGTGGCACAGAAGGACAACGACGCACAGGATATGGTGTAACAAGAAGCCTAGAAGTAGAGTCTCGTTTTTACCCCACAGTTTTCGTTGCAGCTCAGGTTATATTGAGGCACACTTTTGTAATTAAAAGCAAGCATTCTGTATTTCTCTGAGCTCGGTTTTTTGCTGAGTAATTGCAGCACCTATTTATTCATCGGGTGCCTGAAAACGTTTTCTACATCAGCCGAATTCGTGGACCGTTGGATCAAAATCAGACGGCTCCCGTCCTTTCTGTGACCTTCAACCGTTCTTTCTCTGTCCCCTTCCAGCACCTGGACGTCTGTCGCCGCACCACCCTCCGCCTCTTTCCGCCATCGTTCTGCCGCTTGCTGAAATAGTTGTATAGAGATAGGACGTGTATTTAAACTTCTATTTTGTTAAATGTAGCGAGTGTTCGTTTATACAAGGAAAAGGAAAGCAATGGCACCAGTGATGGGGTATAGACAAGTCTCATCTTGCAATTCAAGGCCCATGAAGTTGAACTTAATTTTGAACTATTACAAATCATAGACCAAAATTGCCAACTTATATGCCTATACAGTTACTAACCTTCCTAACAAAGATCAATCCACACCACTATACACCCACTTTAGGCCTCATTCGGTTTGAAGGAATTTTACAAAAAAGAGACATGAACATTTTCTATAGATGCATTCGGTTTGTAGGAAATACACGTATGGGAATTTCATAGGAATACCATTAATTTTCTATGTTTTTGAAGAAATCTACACATCCACTCAAAGTTCATTTATGCATATGAACGAGGTAAGACAATTTCTTAGGATGTCAAGTGTCATCCTATTAACTTCTTGTATACTATTCCTAAATCCTACGTTTTGATTTCCTCCAAACCGAATGAGGCCTTAATGGATTTCGACTCCCATAACTTAGTTTATTATTATGCATTCATCCATCTGGCTTACTCATATACGTATATTATAGCGTACATTTATTACACCTTTGCTTGGTACAATTGCACATGCACGTGTACATATCTAAGTCATAAATCCATACAATTGAACACGTGTCACTCTTTTATTTGTCAAACCAATCTACTTCATAGACCATGCATGCCATGTTACTCCCAGTTCCACACAACAAACTTTGTGGTCAACCTCAAACTCAAGTGACCATCAAAAAAATCCTGCATTGATGAAATCTGGTTAACATCTGTAAGCCGTGTACATATGGGTAGAAAAAAATACAGTAAATTCAGTTAGAGAAGAGTAAACAAATTCACTTATGGTAATGTCCAAATATCCGGTTACGGCAATGTAGTAGTGTTCACATTTAGTTGACACACTGCTAGAAATTTCAGTTATATTAAAATTGGAAGTCAAAGTGCTCTGTCATGTAGTACTATCTTCAGCATTTCAGTTCAATGTTTCATGTCCGAACTACACATATTAATTAGCTACTTCCATGCCCTCTCTATGACCAAATGGGCCAAGTGCCAGACAACAACTATGATCAAATGTACCACATTCAATACCCCAACTAAAACCGTTGCATGAATCAGGAGAGGGTCGATGCCAAGCAAGAGACACCTCATGTATGTCACCGACCATCATGAGAGGACGAAATCAACATAGATAACAAATCCTATCGGGTTGATCAGACTCCCCAAAAGAGAACGAGAGACTGGATGCGGAGACTCATCTTTCTCGGGGGGTTCTTCGCCGCGTCGTCGATGTTGAGGTTCGTCCTTATTCCGCGATGAAGATTGTCATCTTCCAACCCCACCTCTATCCTCGCTGAACAATTGGGACAACGCAAGAAAGGTTGGTGAAGGTGTGAACATTGGAACGGGTATGACAAAGTTTCATGCACCTATGCGCAAATATGCACATGTTACTAGCCGATTAGGTCATTTATGATTCTTTTTATAATCTTGAAGAAAACCAAGGGGTTTCCTGCACAATTGTTTTCATAGGCGTAGGATCCCCCTCCCCGGGCATGTGGGAGTGCTGCTACGTTGGCGTGCTACCTACCCACGGTTAGCGACAAGTGAGGTATATTGAGAGCCATCTTCAACAGACACGCAACGCGCTAAATAATTTTTACAGTGCTGAAATAGCATTTTTTTACGCGCAGCAGAGTGCTGGTTTCAGTGCCCGTTGCAAAATATGGCGCGTACGAGCAGCTCCAGCAGCCGCTGCAAAAAATGACGCACACGAACAACCGTTAATACGATGCAACATATAGGAACAATATGAAACAACATATAGATAAAATTCAAATAGCATAGTTCAAGCTCAACACCACAAACTAGTCCATACGATAGAAATAATAATAGATAAAAATGATACTACGATGCAAATATACTAGAAACTACTCCTTGTTGTTGTTGTCCTTCTCCTCATCGGTGGTGTAGCCCGACGACAGAAACGCGTCATCCCACCGAGGATCATTGTCGTCAAAGGTCGACGCAGATCCCAGTTCGCACTACGCTATCGCCAGTGCCTTTCGCGCACGCTTGTCCGCCCGATCCGCGGCTCGCAGCGGCCTCCTCTGCGCCCAGAAGTTGTTCTCGGCGGTGACATCCTCCGGGAAGCGCTGGCGCCACTCCGCCATGGCGTACTCGTCCGTCTCGGTGACGAGGAGGCGGTGCTCCCGCCTACGCTGGATGCGACGGTGCTCGTCGATGATTAGCCGCGGTGGAGGCGCGAGGTCCTGCACCTGGTGGCGTGTCCGAGAAATTCATCTGCGAATGTGGCCGGTTGAAGCGCCACGCCGCCGCGTTGTACGCGCGGGCGACCTCGTGGGCGGTCTCGAACGTCCCGAGACCGAGACGTCTATTACCGGAGCGGATCTCCGCGTAATACACGCCGGAGGGGCGGGCACGGACGCTACGGTAGCCGGAGCTGCTCCAGGCGCGCGGCGGGGGAGGAGGGAGGATGGCGCGACGGCAACGGCAGGGCACTGGAGGCGAGGAAGAAGGGCGCGATGGGGAAGAACGAGGCGATGGAGTGGCGGTTGGTGGGCCTGCGCGCGGGTTTTTATAGCGCCCGATGCCGCGCGTGCACTTTTTTCCCACGCCGGATTATCCCGCGCCTGCTGAAGCGCGCTAAACCGGCCCGCGCACGTGGTATCTAGGGCGCATGTTGGAGATGCTCTTGCCAAAGTGAAGTCTTAGCACAAGTTAGGTAGAAATTACATGGGACTATCACATGATGGGTTCAAGTACTGGACTTGACGCTAGTGGTTGTATTTTTTAAAAGAAAAATCAGCCTTTTCAATGTTCGTTTAGTAGACAAATATATTTCCGCTGGACGTGTGATGACTTTATCAATCTCAACAGCATTGTTGTGTTCATTTTAGAAAAAACAATTACACCTCCTGATGGTTAAATAAAAGACCTAGACGAGCAAGTAGTTCAGGCGGACTTGCGCAGGGAAAACGGACACAGGAGTCAGGAGACGTGACGTTACATGCATGGGACAGATCGTCGAGACTCGAGTCCAATCGCAGCTCCTGATCAGAACCACCCGGGCGGTTAATTACCAGTTTACCATACATAACCTCAGGTCGAGAAATCGATTGGCAGCACACAAAGTCCAAAAAAGTTTCGAAGCTAGTCGATTCCAGGTATACGCTCGCGTGCTTGTCGAGGGAATCGCCGCCGGCATCACCAGGGCCGATCCATCCATCCTTTCTGCCATGGTCAACATGGACGGTGCGATGGAGTGCATTGCACGAGTATGTCGGGCCATCGTCACAGCCTGCGACACGATCACGGCCGCCGCGCTGCTCGTCAGGGAGTCCGCGGAGGCCCTCAGGGTGGCCGCGGAGGCGGCCCGGAACGAGCCGACGCCGACGCCGGACATGCGGCCACCCGCCGACCGCGACGGCGCAGCCGCCACTTCGGATGACCGGAGCGAGTGCGTGATCTGCATGGAGCCGTACGAGGCCGGCGGCGACCGGTGCCGCGTCCTGCCGGCGTGCGGCCACATGTTCCACAGGCGCTGCCTCAGGACGTGGCTGCGCACCAGCAGCACTTGCCCGCTCTGCAGGGCATCCACAGAGCCGGCGCCGGCGCACGTCCGACGGGCAACTCCGGTGTAGATTGGTCTTCGATAGTTCTGTTCAAAATTTTCTTTCTGTCTGTCTGGTGGTTTTGTGTTGTGACCTGCCGGGTGTATCACTGTATCAACGCCGGCGCCTCTTGTTAACTGGAAAAGATAAATCAGTTTAGGGAAACGTTGCACACCGGCTGACCGGCCTAACCGTGCGCCGGTCGAGTGCGCAGCGTACGATCCGCATTGATCGGCTGGCTCCTGTTGCACCAACGACCCACATGCTGGTGGGCCTTGGCCGCTTTTTTTTTATTGAGCTGGCCGACCACTTTTCTTCCCATGCTTATCTCTATTCCCAGCCGTGTCCACTCGTTTGTTTTTCTTTCTTTTTTTCGTTGTAATTGCCAAGGACAACGCGGAGGAGCTCCAACCGGTTGATAACTTGATATGGAGCTACAACCGGCGAGCCGTTTTGATGGACCGGCGTGATTTTTTGCCGTGACCGGGGCCGATGAGCCATTTTTTGCTGCAACCGACGAGTAGTTCTGATGGTACCGGTGTGATCTTTTGCGATGACCAGCGACGGCAGTTTTTTTTACTACAAACGACGAGTTGTTTTGCTGGCATAGTGTGTTTTCTTGCGGTGACCAGTGGCGGCGAACTTTTTCCTTTTTTGCTACAAAAGATGAGTTGTTTTGCTTGGACTGGCCAGAATTTTTGTTGCATCCTAGTGATGGCAAATCCTTTTTTTTTCTGTAACCGGCTATCATTTTTGCTGGGACTGGCGAGGCTTTTTGTTGAGACCGGCGAGAATTTTGTGCTGCGGCCGACCAATGGCAAGTTACTTCTTTGCTGGAACCGGCGATCAATTTTGCTGGGAGCGGCGAGAATTTTTGTTGTGATCGGCAACCGACGAGATTTTTTGCTATGACCCGACGATTGTGAGTAATTTTTTGTTTTGCTAGCGATCATTTGTGCTCGGACCGG